AGCTAAGTCAAGTGTTGCTTCCCATCGGACCGTCCAGCCCAGCCATTGCAACACTTCAAGCACGATTTGAAAATCATGATGTTGTCTGAAGTGGGCCACATTCTCGAAACATGCCACCTCAGGCTGCAAAACCGTCCTTTTCAAAAAGGCTTCGATTGACAAGAAACCATCTGCTCGACCGAGACCACATGCTGCATGCGCCAAGCTCCAACTTGGACAAGGTGGTGATAATGTCATCGTGTCAACACGAGGTGTAAACTGGCACCACCATCCAGATCTCACGTCACACTGAAACGTGACATGTTCATTTGAGGTATCAGTAGCATGCAGCGACTTGGCATTATAATCTTTAGTCTCCTTCAAAGCCTGGCCTGAACCATAGTTGGTGGCGAAGGTGGCCGCAGCGACAGCATCACAATCTAATGCGAAAGCGCTTCGAATCGGTGTGAAATGCTCATCGAGAAATGGGATGGCTTGCGTCCACCCTGAAAATCCCCTCTCCTTTAAGGATTCTCCCTGTATCACTTGGTTTCCGATCATCATGAAAGTAGAGACATGTCTTGGGGTCTGTAGCGTCCACAAAAAAACATACATTCCTGAAATGACCGATTTTAGCATCAACTATCCACGCCCGGTCTTGCCTGCCAGGACGGTCCCATACAGTTCGAAAGAGCCTGACCATGCCCCTATGTGTACATGGAGGGACCAGGAGAGACATTCCACGAAAACCTTCCGGGAAACTATGACACTGCTGGACAAGTTCAGCCTGCACAGTGACAGTGTGTTGGCTACTTTCATGGATCATGCCAAACTGTACCATAGCTGCAAAATTATTGGCATTACACTCACATACAGCTGTGACCAAACGAAATTCCTTGAGTCTTGCCACTACAGCCACAATGGGGTCACTTGCATCTCGTCCCGGTCCTGGATGGCTCGGAAAAACCTGTCAAACCGCCTGGCCAAAGTAGACAAAGTAAGGCCTTGGATAGCATCATGTCGGAAGGACCCGGCGTTGCTCTCTCTCTGGAACATGACGTGCACGATCTCGGGGCCTCCTTACTCCGGCTGTGCAAAACGGTAAGACATGCTGTGTTCGGATCAAGTGGTCAAGGAATTGAACTCTGACAACATTTGCAAACCCTACGAAATCTTGGTCTGCACACACTTGGTCCCAAATGTACATGGCCTGATTGCATATCTCGACTATGGTATTACCTTGCGGATGGTGTTGAACCCGAAGGATAGTTGATTCGATATTTGGCGTTCCCATGATCTGACAATCTCGCAAAATACACCACAATGCAGCAAATCCACACATACCCGGCGGGGCCACAGTTGGTGTGAACTGCACGGTCGTCTGACTCATTTGGGAATCAAACAGCATAACGAATTGGTGGAGGAATCGATTCCATTCCAGAGGGCTCATTGGGATCTCGTCAAAAACATCACACACTGTGAAACCCTCATAGCGGACCACCTTCAGACCGAACCAGTGAGATCTGTGTGACACAATGGCATAGAATGGCATAGAGGCAGGAAGCAAATGAGGTATCATATCCAATCCCTGCAGCATACCTTAGTGTTGCGGTAGTGCTATCCCACACCAGGCACGGAAGGAGCACTGCACTCGTGAAATGACGGTAGATGTCAAGCTGATAATCTAACTCATCAGGTTGGGTCCACATGGCCTCAAGACGTTGTGCAACCTGTGGCGACACATGTGAGTGCAGGACAATCGGTGGAGCCCCTACAGGTGCGAAAGACAGATCAGATTGACATGCCGCCTCACTAGTTTGCCTCGGTTCCTCTTGAACTACAGGCCCAACAGGCAGTATCTCTGGGACCACGATGTCGTCAAAGCATCTCAATGGGTGACCAACTGCTACAATTGCACAAGATTCGAGTCGCTGGTGTACTGATGTTTGCTGATGAAACAAATGTGCAAAAAAGGCAGCTCTCAATTGACACGCGCAAAAAGCAGCTCATCATTGGCTCCTTTTTTATTCCAGGCTTCACTGGATCTTTCCAGCAATCTACTTACTATCTGATGGCGCTCCAAAAGGCAAAGACAAAATCTGGTGCGGAATGTCGGCAAAGGCACGTTGCGTTTGAGTCAATTGAATCCTATGCAGCAAAATCGCCCAGCCACACTTGTCCGGAATTTGGTGCATGGCAGTCTCAGTCGTCAGTCGGTGAGCCGCCGCTCAAAAGCAGGTGGAACTTGGCACATCACTACTCGTGTAGGAGATTGAGTCTTGTCATGTTTTGTCTATCTCTAATCCAACCCAGTGTGATCCAAGCAGCAAAGGAATTAATGTGATGCCCCGATTTGGAGTGTGCATGCTTGCTCCATCTGTGACGAACTCGTCAGTATGTTGGACATACACCATCATGTGGGCAAAATGAAAGTCCTCGCTTCTTTCACGGATCTTTGAGATAATGAAGCTCATCTCATCGCTGGCCAACCAGCCTTCAGTTTCCTGTGCAAAGCTAACTCTCTCTCCGATGGTAGCACCCGCACGTAAAGTGGCTGCCCTTGGTGACCGCCAAGATGGAGCTCCTCCAGCAAAAACCAGCTTCGTCACTTGTGATCCATGGCGTAGCACACAGGTGTGATCGCAAAAGAAGCGATCCCGTCTAAATCGCCCTAAAAAGCTGCGGTCATGGGTTTGGCTGTCAAATTGCCAATCCCCTCTATGCTGTGCCACACCAGCAACTAATTGGCCGCTCTAATCTCCTTTCTTTTGATTTCTTTTGCGGCATCTTGAGTGGTCTTTTTTGTTCCTGCCCTTTCTATCATTCACAGGGCATCCTACCCTATCCTCATACCTGTGACCTGACATCAGGCACTGCGCACAAAGACTGGGGATGTTCCAGCCCATCTGACAGAGGACTTCCCTTGGCAGACACATAGTTTTGCAAAATTGAAGCACAAAATGTGGTGACACTATGGGTGTTTCGGTGAACAGGCGAAGGCAATGACAGACACATTGAGCACGCTCCACATGCCTACATAAACTCGGTTGGACAATTGGCGAATCAAGGATCATCACCTTGTCTGCTCCTTGACTCGAATTATATCCCTTGGCATCATGATTTGTTTCGAAGTGAATCCTTTCGCCTATGCTGATATTGACTGCAGCATCAGGACATGTCTTCTCTGGTTGACCTGACAACCAAACATGTAAAGACCGCCCCACAACAAGTGCAATCACACAAATCAAGCTCCATACCACGAAAGTTCTTGAAAAGGCATCCTGCAGAGACAGACCACATGATTGACGGCCCCCTATTCCATCATAGTCACGCCTTGCAGGCCCCTCCGAAATCACAAGAGTCCACTGACTGACGAAGATTAGCAGGCATAGCCCCCATCCCATGCTCCGACATGCGACATTGCCCAGACAGTGAAGTACTGCAAGGCTGCTTTGCACAAGGAGTACTGCGAGTACATACATCCCCATCAGAACGTCAGCATCAATTGGTCGATATGTACTGACCTCATTGTCTCCTTCAGGAATCTCAGATAGAACTGTAGCCTCCTTAGCTTGAGTCTTTGTTTTCCTCCTTCCCAGAAAATCAATACCAGACTTCCACCACGATTTAAGCAGCGATGTCCAGAGGACGCTCTCCGTCTGTGATCCACAAATTGCTTTCAAAGGGCTCTCGGCGATCTGACCACTACTCTCACAAGTCATGTAAGGCTCTCTCCATCTGACCCACGAATATCTGGAATCGAACCACTCGGAGACAGCAAAACAAATGTCCAACCCTCCGGTCTGCGGACTTTCTTCAACAACACTCTCGTCTGCCATCGAAGAAATGGAGTCAAAATCGCTGGCACCTTAAGGACGACAGGAGTCTGACAATCTTCACCCCTGAACTCCGCAAAGGATGCACGCTGTGTCCACAAAAGCCTTTATGATGCCTGCAAAGATCTCTTCATCTTTTCCCACCTTCGAGGTGGGATATGCATGGAGTGTCAGTGGCTCTGACGGAGGACACCGATCCCATGGCATCGCTCAAATTCGCGTCCCCGGACGACAGGCTTGCCGCGGGAAGGCTTGAGCAGAAAGCCTATACGTTGAACGTCCAAGAAATTTGACTTACATGGACGTGTAGGGCTGGATAGGGGATGTCAATGCGTCAAATTTTAACTGGAACGTTTGAATCAAGGTCTTCCTGCTTAGAAAGCGTAGCCAGCCAGCACACAATACTATCCTTGTTGTAAACACGCCTTTCTCCCCTCATATTCCAAGACAAGTTCACCGCCTGTACGAGTTTCAGATTTCAGATGCTTCATGGTGCGAAAAATGGAAGACATCAAAGAAGCAGTAACCCTAAAGAAGGGCGGAAGCCCGCATAGTAAGATTAGTAAGATGTATCCGTTTTTCGCCCTCGTCCTTTCTCTGTGCACGCTGTTTTAGAGTGCCAAGCTGTGCTAGGCCAGGTTTTTGTTTGCCTGTTGAATTGGAGAAACACAGTGCTTCTTGAGTTGGAGCCTATAGTATATGTGGATTCTACTATTCTACTGCATTTATGTTCTAGAAATGAGCCTTCCGACAGGTAAGAACAAGCGCCGGGTATACTATGGTATAGTTACGAGGAACACCATGGAACAACACAATGTTGTGCTGCCGTTGGTGAATCTTGAAGAAAACAGACAGGCAAGCTCTTCTGATTGAAGACTCTTGAAGTCTTGCATCTTAAACACCTTTTGAGTAAACCTTTGTTGAATTCCCGACTCAAGATTCAAGACTCGCTGCAGCTCTGACACCTCCAAACCCTTCCAAATCTGGAACCAAATCATTAGGGTTCAGGCTTCTTCAAGGAAGCTCCCCTGGATCTCAGGCAGGGAGAGCTTTAAGAAGCCTGAGCCCTTCCACATCCAAGCCTCGTAGCTTCCTAGCTTAGTAGCTTACCTCCTTAACGCTTGTTAGCCCACCCCGGCCTACCCCCAAAAAGAACCTGACACGACAAAATTCCTAGCTTCTTAGGTTGTATTGGAATCGAAGTGACCACTTGGGTGAACATCAACGGAGTGGCGTGCAGCTAAAGAACGTGGGATTTACCCAATGCGCTGAATGGGCTCGAGCGCCTTGGCTGCCTTGGGGGGGCTTGGCCAGCTTGTGGCTTGTGCTTTCTTGAATCCACCTTGGACTGGCCAAGGTAGGACAGGGTGGAAGTCATTTCGACCAGAAGTTTGAAGAGGTCAAAGTTGTACACATTCCATGGCAGGCCTTTTGCCAAGAACGCCCGGTTTTGGTGTTAGTTTGCTTGTGTTGGGAACATGGAAGCAGCAAGGACTTTAGCAACATTTGGCGCGTGTCATTGGCCAACTGGCTTGTTCCTAGATAATCTAGATAGGCCAAACCACACAAAAGGCAATTTGGGCCAAGTGAAGCTGAATGTTCTCGACTCACTCGAAGAACCTTTGGTGCAGAGAGGAACTCCTTGAAAGAAATGTCTCGTTTGTTGCCCCACCAGAGGGTTTCTCGCATTTGTTTGAAGGCCTTGGCGATTGCTGCAGTTGCTGGAGTTGCACTGTGCACGCTGGTTTCATTGATCAGGAATCAGAGATGACACGAGAATTACAAAAGAAAAATGGCTCTTGTCTCTTAACTTGCTCTTTTTGTCATGAAATCTTTGGAGGGCTAGTTGGACACGACGCCTACATGGGTTTCTCGTGCGGGTACCACAAAAATTTACGATTTAGACATACTGAGGATTGGGGCCGGGAGTTTCAAAGAGGAAAACCATGTTGTAGGAAGCTGTGATTTGTGCTGTAGTTCATTGATTCCAAATACTGCACTTATAAAACTCTTCAGATGAAGACGCCTCCGCAATGTGAGTCCCACCAAATCTTTGGCAAAGCAACCCAGCAAAACGCCTCACATGTTTGTCCCAAAACAGGTTGATTCTCCCAAAAGGTCAGACCACCCAGGCCGAGGGTGGCCGATACACTTCGTAGGAGCTTGGGAAAGCAGAAAACGCGTCACTCTTAATCCTCGTAAATCGCTTCCATGATCTTCCCGTGCTCGTTGTTAGTGCCTTGTGCCGCCCTTTGTTCAAAGTTTGTTGAACAACAAGATGAGGTGGAAGTTGGGCTGAGGGGGCTCTGAGAGGATTTTGGAAAAGGCTGAATGTTTTGACATGTTTTGACAACCTCAGGTATTGGTCACAAATCAAAAGCAGGTCAGTTGGGAGAAAGCCGAAAGCTGTTCCTTGCACAGGTCTATGCACACCTCTTGAGGCAGATAAACCACAAAACACCTCATTGCCAAATCTCAGACACAATACTGTATATTGCGATCATGTTCAGTACAGATCATAAGTTAGATGTATTGCATGACCGACATCACAGAATGTACAGTTGAACCTACTGCAGCCCTTTTGTGAATCAAGAACAGGCGCGTATGGTAGCGGAGCTGAGAAGGAGGTAACCCCTCTGGAGCTCTGAGTGAAAAGCCCCTAGGTCACTGGGATCCCAGGTACGATTTAGAGCCATAGGCTTGGGGTCTTTGGACCCCAAACAGCTGGACTGGTGAATAATTATTGTAAGCAACGCTCTGTACCCAGTACATTGTGTCCAAGAGACATCAGTACAAGGAGAAGATGGAGGAGATCAGAGAAATCCTTCAGACTATCGCACAGAGTACGCTAGAAACAACATCAGCAGCTGAGGCAGTGAAGAAAGCAGTTGAGGACAAGAAGTCATCAACCACACGTTGGTCAAAGTTGATAGCAAAGCTATAAGTCACAAGAAGAAGAGATCAAGGCATTCAGAGAGTGGTCATGCGTCTTTGAGAAGTACCTGAGGGCAGTTGATGAGGGCTACTTGAAGGACGTGAAGGAAATTCATGAGAAGCCAGATGGCAAATTTGATATGGACTTGGCAACTGAGGCAGAAAAGGCCAGGTGCACCAAGCTCTCTGGATTGTTAGCTGCATTGATGAGAGGAAGGGCACTGCAATTGGTGGAAGAGACTAATTGATTTGATGCCTGCAGGAGTTTGAATAAAGCTTTTAATCATAGGACCGGATAACCCCATATGTTCACAACTTCACCAGACACAGGAGCGGACAATTGGTGGTTGGTGGGTGACAATTGGTTGGTGGCAGTTGGTTGGTGGCAGTTTGTGGGTGGAAGTTTGTTGGTGGCAATTGGTTGGTGGCCATTGGTTGGTGGCAATTAGTGGGCGACAAGGGGTTGGTGGCAATTGGTTGGTGGCAAGTGGTTGGTGGCAGTCTGTTGGTGGCAATTGGTTGGTGGAAGCTTGTTGGTGACAGTTGGTGGGTGGCAATTGGTTGATGACAGCTGGTTGATGACAATTGGTTGGTGACAAATGGTTGGTAGCAATTGGTTGGTGACAAGTGGTTGGTGACAGATGACAATTGGTTGGTGACAATTGGTTGATGAGTGACAATTATATAGTTGGCGGCAATTGGTTGGTGATAATTGGTTGGTGACAATTAGTTGGTGGCAATTAGTTGGTGACTACTGGTTGGTAGGTCTCTGCCCTTCTGAAAGGGATTTTTTTGAGGGCCTGTTTTTTCTAAAAAACATGGTCCTCAACCAGTTGTCATCAAGCGATTGTCATTGGTGGCAATTGGTTGGTGGCCGTTTGTTGGGGGCAATTGGTGGGTGGCAATTGGCTGGTGGAAGTTTATTGGTGACAATTGGTGCATGGCAACTGGTTGATGACAACTGGTTGATGACAATTGGTTGGTGACAACTGGTTGGTAGCAATTGGTTGGTGACAATTGGTTGGTAGCAATTGGTTGCTAGCAATTGGTGGGTGGCAGTTGATTGTGGGTGGCAATTGGTTGATGACATTTGGTTGATGACAATTGGTTGGTGACAATTAGTTGGTGGCAACTGGTTGGCAACAAGTGATGGTTGATGACCATTGGTTCGTGACCTATGTTGCCCCCTTGGTTGATGACAGTTGGTTGGCGCCAACTCGTTGGAGACAATTGGTTGGTAACAATTGATTGACACTTTGGTCGGTAACAATTGATGAGTGATGATCATTTGTTCCCCCCCTCTTGGGCCTATGTTAGGCCATCTTGGGGCTATGTTAACCCATCTTTGACCTATCTTGGGGGCCTCTGTTGGCTCATCTTGGGGTACGTTTTGCGCCATTTGCGTTGACTCAAAAATTGCGGTTATGCACGCGCGGGCGGCGCGCATTACCGACACCACCCTTGTAAAACCCATGGTTTTTGCATTTCGCCACTGTCCAAATTGTGGATCTTCCACGCCCACAAAACCCTGTAAAACACAGTGTTTTTGAACACCTCGCACGCAAATCACAGTTGAACAGCGGTGGAGACCCAGCAGCGCCAACCAGCACCGGGGCGTGCATCCGACCCCCTGCAGAAGACACGTGGCAAGGAAATCATTGGTTGATGACAATTGGTTGGTGACAATTGGTTGTTGACAGTTGGTTGGTGACACGTGGTTGATGACTGTCAGTTGATGACAATTGGTTGTTGACAATTGGTTGTTGAAAATTGGTTGTTGAATATTGGTTGATGACAATTGGTTGTTGACATTTGGTTGTTGAAAATTGGTTCGTGGCAATTGCTTGGTAGCGAGCCGAGGGCGGGAGGAGGCGGAGGGCGAGACGGAGGGCGGGAGGAGGCGGAGGGCGGGACGCTTACAACATTAAAAACAAAATTCCACACGTCAATGTGGTGAAAAACAACTTCAAAGGCAAGAGGCTTGGCGCTCTTGGGAGCAGCCACTACATGGCTGGCATTTGCAATGAACAGCACACCACAACCTCAACTCTTGAAGCTTGAAGAAGTATTTGATGAGACAGTCAAGTCAGGGGCTACAATTCAGGAAGAGTTGAAATCTGCTGTTCTTTTGAGATGTGTAGGTGGTCAACCCAAATCATACTTGAACTTTACACTTGGCGACAATGTTCAATACTCGACTTTGATGGAACAAGTGTTGAAAGGCAATACACCTATGTGCTTACAGAGTGAGTGCAAGCAAACGTATCAGAAGAACCGATGGTCCAAATACTTACCCATATACGAGAGCTTCAATGCATTTTTCATGGGAGTATCAAACCAACTTTGGGGGCAGGATCATTGCCACCAAAAAAGGAGAGCAGAAGCATTACCAGCAGCGCCAATCAAGGACATGCGATGCTGAGGTTCAAGGGTGAAGATGCAGATGCAGTCATGGCCAAGGCACTGGAAGGAGGAAGTGACGCAGAAAAGGAAGGGAATTAATTGCAGAGCCAATGGAAATTTCAGCCCCGCTGGAAATCCTTGTTGATGCAATGAAGAGAGATGGAGGTGAAATAAAGCCAAGTGGAGAAGAGACACCAAGTAAGAAGCTGAAAGTTCTTTCCACACACAAGAAAACCTTTGAGAAGGTGAAGGCGTTTCCTTCTACATCATTGCTAGCAATACAGCCTAATCCAATTACTCCTACACTATCTGCGTTGAGATCACCATTAGTACCATCAAGACCAAGAGAAGCCTTTGAACTGCTTGAGGGGGAAAGCCCAATGAAGAATCTCAGGCCAGCAGATGATTCAAGCAAGAAAATTAAGATTAACATTGTGAAAGTTGGAGGAGGAGATCTTTACCATGCAGATGAAGAGATATCCCCAGCTGCTGAGGACGTTGGAGAAGAAGAGTGGGATGGTGAAGAACATGAATCAGATTTGGAAGAAAATAATGGACCTGAATGCTTGTGGCATGATGGAGAACATGAACCTGAAGAAGACCCAGAAGAATGGATTGGTAGCGTGGCTGATGAGGTAGAAGAGAAAAGACTCCAAAAGATGCTAGCGCTGGAGAAACCAGAACGTAGCACAAAAGGAATCAGTTACTTGACAACACGCAATGAGTATGACTGGGGGAAGAAACCATATCAGCCTGGAGATGGGGGTTCAGTCAAAACGTGGGAGAGAAGATCAAGACTAGTTGCAAGAGAATTTGTTTTCGCTGTAGGAGAGAGAGATGACATTTTCTCACCAGCGAATTCAGGGTGTGTACTGAAGCTTCTACCCCCAATATTCTTGCAAAGGACCAGTGAAGAGGAAGAAGCAAGAGAGGGAGAAGGAGCGTTTTCATAGATACTAGGATGTCTTGATGTGAAAGGTGCATTTCTACAAGTTTACAGGAGAAGCCATTGAAGGTAATCCTGAGAGGAGAAGAGTTGTTGGCGAAGAGACATCTACCTGGACAAAAGTTGGAGCAAAAGCATGGTTTGGCTTTTCACAGAGCACCTCGCAGAGGAACTCAACTGAGTGTCCAGGCCAAGGAAGAAACGAGAAGAGTATAATTTTAATCCATGTGGGTAACTTGATTTTCGCAGGAGGTTCAAAGTATATCAATGAAATCTGTCTTTCCAAAGATCAAGGCAAATTCGACGCCAGTGTGAGCAAGATTGAGAGGATGGGTGGTGATTTCAATTTTCTGAGGACAAAGTATCAACTGGAAGTTGATGGATCATGGATCCAACCAGGCAACTACATCCAGCATATGCTGAAAGCCTATGAAGATCAGATTGGACCTGTCAAACTTCAACAACTACCAGCAGACAACTCAAGAACAGAGGTATGATGTAGCGTTCCAAGTGAAGGAAGTGGCTTCAAGAATGTCAAATCCTACAGCTATGTCATTTCATCACTTGAAAAAATTCCTAGGATACTTGAAGCAGGCTATGGACTATTGTCTTAGTGCTTGAGTTTCCAGAGGCAGGAAAAGGTTACTGTATGCCAAGAAAGGAGAAAGCTATTGGTGCTTGGAGACATTCTCAGATTCAGACAAGGAGGATTCCACGCATTGAACAGTAGTTGATTGTTCAACAGTAGCAGAACACAGAAGATCATTAGCTTATCTTTGTGTGAAGCAAAAATACACGCGATAGTTTCGTCAGCGCCCGATGGAATCTACATTCGCGCAGTTCTGGAATTTGCTCTTGGGACAAGGGTGGACCATTACACCTACACAGATTCATCAAGCGCACGCCAGCTTGTATGGATTCAGAGCAGGAAGGACTTCAAGATGGCACAGATGGCAACATAGCAGACATCAACGCAAAACCACATGGATGACAAAGAATCAGATACTTGTTGAATCTCATTGGATACTGGCGCAGTGAAGACCAAGGCAAAGTAGGAGAGCATGAGAGAAGGGAGTATGAGGAGAAAAAGAACATTGCAAGATCGCTAAGATTGCAAAGATGCTTGTGAGAAAGGTGGCATTGGAGGGCTTGCAGCCAATGGTTGCAGAAGCATTCTTGAAAGAAGGCAATACTCAATGTGAATTGGACGCAGTGAAGAAATCCAATGAAGAATGGAAGTTCTGGATTGTCATTGATCATTGCGTTCAACATTATTGCTTTTGCAACATTGGTTTTTGTGATCTACAGGATCTTCAAACGCCTTGAGTTGAAACTTGAAAGGAATAGCGATGAGCTATGGGGTCATATAGAAAGACGCTACAATGATAGTTGGCAGCACATTGATTGGAAGACACACGGTATAGAGTTCAGGATCACAGAAAGTGAAACTACCATCAGAGATGTGGAGAGAGATGTTAGTAAGATTGAGTGTGGTGGAGAAACTTGATCGATTGCAACTATGCCAGGAGAAATCATTGCGGATTGATTCTGAATGGGGGCTCTACTACGCCTGAAACACCAGATGTTCCAACAATCATCGCCTATGATGTATTGCAAGAGTTGAACGCAGGAAACTTCTTAGCCAGAAAGAGCTTGGAAGATATGCCAGCGTCAACAGAACAATATTGGGGACATAAAGTGATGTTGAAAGCAGCTGCAGATGGAGCAACACCATCAGAAGGACCATGGAACAAGGTGTTCAAGATAGGAAACAGAGAAATGCCCATCAGAGAACAATACATCGCAGACTAAACAAGCCAATTGCGCAGTCGATTTGAAGCAAGCTAGGGCAACTCCATGAGAGACACTGGAACCTCATGAGTAGATGACAGCATGAAGCAGCAGATATGGTAGAGAAAGAGATGGAAAAGCATAAGGAATTGCTAGAATGTGCAGTTATGAGGAGAAACTTTCCAGATTGACCACCAGCTGAAATATCGCCAATCTCTGGGAACCCAGTTCCTCAGAGTACAGAGTAAACTTGCAGAAGGAGAGAGAGAGAGAGAGAGAGAACTGAACGGAGGAAAATGGACGATGGTGGCAAAGTCAGCTCAAAGAAGCATGTTAGAGTCTCACGTCGCCAAGAAGGACCGCGAACCATTTTCAGGACAGATCATAGGTTAGATGTATTGCAAGACTGACGTCTCAGAATGTACTGTTGAACCTACTGCAGCCCTTTTGTGAATCAATAAGAGGTGTTTGTATATATATATATAGAGAGAGAGAGAGAAAGAGAGAGTTGCCACTTTGTGGACTAGGAAAGCCAGACGCGATCATGCTCAACTTGAAGTGTAGACCCCAGGGCGCTACCCCTCTCCAGGCGACCCTTGTTTACAGGAGAACAAACATCGCATTGAATCACTTTTGAATCACTGAATCACCTTTGAATCATTTCAAATCCTTTTTGAAGCTTATAAAATCTTATTTGTGCACTTTTTTGCTTTAAAAGTGCAAAAGTGATTTAGATGTATTTAAAAATGCAAAAAGTGTATTTGTCACTTTTGTTTCTGAACGTGATGTTCGTTAAAAAGCTGACAAGTAATGCTTTAATTTACTGTGTTTGAAAGTCAGCGTTTCATTGTCAGCCTCATTTTGTTGTGAGTGTTTTTAGGAAAAGGAAGAGGAAGAGGAAAAGGAACTGTTAAAAAAAGGAAAAGGTCGAGAAAAGAGGAACAGGAAACAAAAATTGGTTTGATTTGGTTTGTTGATTATCTATTCTACTGGTTTTCTGTGTTTTTACAAGACTTTGTAACCTGATCAAATCTGATCAAACCTGATCAAATTTGATCAAATCTGATCAAAACCATGGTCTTGATCAAATTTGATCAAATGTGATGGGATTGCATTGTTTGTAAAGGACTTTAATTCAGGAAATTAAAAAGTTTTGTCACAGTTTTAGTCATTAGATTGTGTTCCTCAACTCTCCTCGCCAAAAAATTTGTCCACAGTTTTATATAAGCATTGAATTTTGTTTCCTTTTTTCACCCAATATTTTGTCCACCGTTTTAGTCATTCACTTTTTCCTTAACTTCCCTCACCAAGTTTTATTGTCCACAGCTTTAGTCATTAGAAGTTGCTTCCTTAATTTCCCTGGAAGGGGAAAGGAAGAGGAAAAGGAAGAGGAAAAGAAAAGGAAGAGGAACAGGAAAAGGACAAGGAAAAGGAAAAGGAAGAGAACGAGGCAAAGGAAAAGGAAAAGGAAGAGGAAAATAAGGAAAAATACGGAAAAGGAAACGGAAAAGAAAAGAGGAAAAGCAAGAGTCAGAGAAAAGGAAAAAGGGAAGAGGAAAAGGAAGGGCACAAGGAAAGGAAAGAGGAAAAGAAACCACGTATTTGTCGGGTGAAGTCATGGCACTCAGATGTGCAGCACAGTAAACTGAATAGTGCACTTCGCTCGTGCCAGCCAGGTGAATCATCATGAAGATCAATAATGGATGACCATGACTTGTTTGATGAGGTTGATGCTGATTGAGCTGAATGTCTTGTCACGTATTGTTCAATTTTAACCTAGACTAAAAATTGTGCCCTACTGCATGTTTGGCTGAGTTTGACGTTATTTGCAAGGGTTGGAATCCCTGCCAGCACAGTGCTCTTCAGCCAAAAACTGTGTAGAATTTGACTAGATTCAATAGTTATTTTACAATCCCTGCCAGCACAGTTAAAGCTTGACTACTTTCAACATAAATACTTTTCAATGCCTTGGTTCAATACTAGACTACTTGCAAAAACCTTACTTTGTCACAACCCCTGCCAGCACAGAGCTCTTCAGCCAAAATTCAAAACTTACTAAGCTAGTTAGTTCAAGAATTTCCAAGGAGGCCAGGAGTGATTTATCGTTAAGGAACCGTTTGTACTTAGTACATATTTCATTATGTTTTGTAAGTTGACTTGTTGCTCGACCCGTCAACTTATCGTATTTAAAAGGCTATGTTGAACTTTCATTTTGTCTGCAAGTTCACTGCAACTTCACTCGTGGCTTCACTCGTGGATGTACCCGTGAAAACACTTTTGGTTCACTCATACTTTTACCCGTTGGTGAATTTTGTTCAAAATCATGTCTAATCACTTTTGAGTCATTTTTACTCCTATTTGAGTAACTCCTAATCATTTTAGATCTTATTTGTGACAATTGTATGCTTCAAACATGATTCAAAATGATCAAAACAATTTCAAAAGTGCAAAAAAAGACTAGCCAGACTCGCCCAAAAGCCTCACCGGGAAGACTCACCACTTTGATTTGGTGAGATCAGGTACGGTACAGCATCAACCATTTAAAAAAGAGACGCTGTAGATGGTCCTCTCAAAGCTGGACGGCTCGGTGAGAACTACCTTCATGTTTCCAACCAACAGGGTCTTTTCCAGCCAATAGTAAATAGGGAAGCGCTTGTATCTCAGTGGCATGAACATGAAACATGCTTGGTTTGCTTCCGCAGCTTCTGCAGAACAATTAAGGATTGGCACTACATTTTGCAAGACAAGACATTGTCTCACTTCCATGCCCATTCTACTGTTTTTCGCAACTTAATTAGCTGCTTCCTCAAGCTCTTATGTTCCACGCGAACTGTGCTTAGCATCACATGGGTTTAGATGGCCAAACTCCTTGCGGCACCATTGGGTCTTGATCTTGGGCGAAAGAGCACCTGCAACACCAGAGAGAGAAGTAGAGCGAATCAGAACTGGCTGATTGAAGGTTTGTTTGCATTCTGCTTTCTAGGGTGGAGATTTTGCCGGAGGGTGACGTGGAGGGGCTGGCAGTTGGAGAACATGTTGTTCTGGAGGTTTGGTGCACACCTGCCTATGTGCTCCATGTTTAATGCCTTTCTTGTGTTTTTCCTTTGTTTTCCACACTTTATGAAGATCAACTTGTTCAACTTGATTGTAAGTGTGTTTCGGTTGACTAAGCTCGCACACAATGGAGGCTGCAAGCGGTGCTTTGCTCCAAGCTTTGCGACTTGCCGATTGTTTCTTTGCGATTCGGTCTGGGCGCGTGCAAACCTTTCAGGTGAGACAGCCAAGAAGTCACATGTCACGTTCGGATTTGAAAGTTTTACAGTAGTCGCACCAAGTGCTGATGTGTCATTGTGCTGATCACTGAAAAGATATCAGTGCAAAAAACTGGAACCTCTCTATGCAGGTAGCGCGAAAGTTGCCTGCAGCTTCCGTTGTACGCTATCCGCCCCCCTTCAACCTTGAGTTGGAGGATCGGTGTGTTAGGATCATGTGACACCGATTGAGCTTAGAGAAGAATGAGCTGATGAGCTGCGTTATTTCATTCGAGTTTAAAGACTGCAACGCATTGACAAATTTTGCCCCTGATCCTCAGCAAGCGGAAGGCAGACCGAGCCGCTGTCTGGCCCCTTTCTTGCTGTTATTAGAGTAAAGGTGTGAGCTGCTGGTGGAAATATGAAATACTATGGAATACTTAGGTCTTACATCGCGCCCGCCAGTTTGTTGGGCTGGATGTGTCCACTGCCAGCCTCCCAAGTTTCGAAGGAGGCACTGCCTGTGATGTCCGGTTGCATTCAAGGTTGGCCATTACCTACAAGAAGATCCAACCAATGAGGCTTGCTGGGAACAAACCCTTGTGAAATAGCATGTTGACTTTCTCGGGGCTGTCATGAAGATGTGGGAGGCGTTGCTGACAGAACTCCTTATCACCTTTTGCGTTACTGGTATGCCACTGCCTCAAGTTGCAGTCGGGGCTGCTTGCAGTTTCTTTCTGACAAAGTGTTGAACGTGTTTGAACTGTTGCTGAGAGTACATTGAGGCACTGGAATTGGCGCGTAGCAGAAGCTCACAAGGCTGAAAGGCCTCAATTCGGATAAGAAAGAACAAACAGATACAGTATTGCAGAAGCCTTTTTGTCCAGGCACTTCAAGGCGGCCCAGGCCTTTTAAGCGCCTTAAGATTTCTTTTAGACGACAAACAGCTCTTGATCTTGGTAAGAGAGCAAGACTTGCAAGACTTGTTGTTGATTGTTTCCCACATTGTCGCACAGGGCAGCAGAAACCCATTTGTGGGAGGGCCAAGGCAAAGGCCTTGAGGTGTATTGCATGGTATGAACATGTCAACAGAAGGCAGACTAACTAAACTAATCAAGTCAGAAGTTCTGAGTGGCAGCACGTGCGGTCTTGAAGAATCTGGCAGGCCAATCTCAAATGTTGACGAACTCTCAGGCAATTCCAGAAGATGCCCTTATCATCCCTTACCATGTTGCGCTGTAGAGTTGAATATGTTGGACATTGGCTGGCGTTGCTTTGCAGGCAATGATTCACCTGAAACTGCCAAAACACAAATGTCGAGTCACGCACTTGGATGTGCTATCCTGGCTAGTCATGACCCAAACTGTCCTTTTGTGAATCTCGATGCAGCTTGTAGGACTAGTGAAGTCTGATGTTCTGCGGCATTGCTTCCGCCAACCACCATCACAGAGGAAGGTAGACGAGAGTGTTCAAAAAGAGGACCAATCGAAAGCTACCAAGCTTGCAACTTTGCCTGTTGAGATACAGCGCCCCAATTCATCAAACACTGATTGTCTTCCAAGGATGTTGCAACAACAACCCGACTTCAATTGAATGATCCCAACCCAGAATATCGATGCACTGACCCAACACTCCACAAAGATGACACCGAAGAAATCTGCCGCAACAAGAAGATGAAAGCAAAACAATGAGAAAGCGACTGCAAAAAGGACGGGACCTGCACCTCGCATCCCAAAAGCAACAATTGCATGTAAATACAAGGTGTCTTTCGGCTGGTGGCTGTAGGAGAATTTGGAAGTGAAAACAAAGTTGAGAAGGTTCACTTTAAACCCACTATATAATCCGATTTAATCAATATGGGCAGCAAAACTCCAACATCAGACCCAAAGAAGCTCAAAGCTTCCTCAAGGCTATATACCGATGCGATGTTGCATTCTTTTTTGCTTCCTCCCAGCTGGGGTGGTGCCTGTACTGCTGAACCAATTGTCTTGTCATGGGTGCGATTGTAACATGTCCGCACTCATGTGATTTGCTATCATGTAATATACCGACCTACGGTGGTGTATAATTAGTTTATGTCGATAAACAGATAAAATTGAGCAGTTCATAGACTCAACAAACAAGACAGCAGCAGAAATGCAACAAAGACTTCTAACAACACCGGGTATGATGATGACCTACTTGGAATGGAATTGGAATGCGAGCGGTTCCTTTAAATTCTTTGAGGTGGTTTGCTGTTCCCTGTACTCAAGATAATTGTATACTGTAATCACTGAAGATAAGTCTTGTTAGCTGCTAGCTGAAGTTGCTTTGCTGTAGCAAAACTTGTCAAGATTGAGGATGAAACACTCCCTGATATTTCAGATCTAGTCCTGTCCTTTCACTTCACTGCACTGAAACTGCAGATGTTATGTCCCTTTGTCAAAGCATGATGCTTTGACCAAGGCAATCTAGAGCCCACCTAAGAATATTGTGGAAGATAATATCCCTACCAGCACGAGGAGGAAAATACACCGAAAGCACAACAGTGCAAACAATAGGATTTTGAACAGGGGGTCTATGTGGGAGGTGCAATCAAAAGCCAGCAGCTCTTTTTGCTTTTGGTTGGGTTGCTATAGCAATTAGCCCATTGACTTGAAACATTGATGGGCCCGGAAATTTGAGTTGTTTAAATGCAATTTGTCTGATGGCTTGAGTTTGTGTTATGTGTGTAAGTAGCCTTTGGCTTATCAAAAGTGTTTGGCTTCAAACCTCAAGTCTGTGAAGAGCACAGCACTTTTTAACATGCCAGATAACCACCAAACATATACACATGCAGGTCTACATATGCAAGACGCACAGCGGCATGAAGTTGATGTTGCAGATGTAGAGGTAGCAGGTCTTCAGATAGAATGTTCAACAGAAGAACCCTGCGCAGTGTTTCCGTGAAAAGCTTCTGGTTTAATCAGCAGTGAGGATGCATTGCAGTATATCAACGGTGTGAATGCACCATTGTACCAACCCTAGCAACCTCAATATCGGCAAAGCCCGCCACTTCATGAGCAATAAGAACTCGCTGCTACCTGTCCCCTACGTTTGCTTTCGTTGACCCTTTTGGCCTCAAGCTGTCGATGGAGAATTCTTTGCTATGGACGTTTTGCCACGCTCAGCGAAGCCCTACTGCACAGCATCCCAAGGTGTCCCGCTGACCCATCTCGAGCTCAAACACTTTGCTGATAATTGCCCATGCTGGCTGCAACACCTGGTTTGTACGTAATAAAGTCATCCAGAATCCTCCAGAATCCAGACAATTCAACTACTGCATCTTTTCCATGCCTGACCCTCAGCCTAGTCACACATCGCACGTTTGCACCAACAGTATGTGAATGAGGCAAGTTGCGGCAGGCAATCCCAGAACGCGTGCAGGACCCCGCTTTGCACGGCCCAAGCGTTCGCTGAATGAGCACATGTGACAAGAATTGAACGCATTCAACTTTGAAAGATAAACAGTCTATATAATGACGATGCAAGGAGAAAGCGGTTTCCACTGCCATCCATGTGGGTTGCCGTGGGTGCCACGAGCTTTCCGCAGTCAACGTATTGTACGTTTGTCAACACTTTGTGGTGGAGTAGTTTGCTGTGCCTTTGTGTCCAGTCCAGTTATATCAAACCTTGGGCAAAACGTGTGAATCAGAGAACTTGAACATAAACCTTTGGCCAAATCGGGCGCAGATCTGCAGCTCGTGCAGCTGGTGCAGCTGCAGCAATGACAGTTGAGGGCTACGCGACAAGCGGGCTTGTTTGTTCGAGACTCTACTTAAGGTTGTCGGAACCCCTGCGCCTCTTGCAGGTCCCTAGGTTCCAGAGTTGCTTTCGAACCTGAGAAAACGATATGATAACGGGATATGTTCATTCATTCCCTTGGCTCACAACGATAAAACGATTATTACGACCCAGATAGCAAAAGCTATTTGTGGGCAGCAGCGCCGGGGTGCGGCACCTTGCAGCACCGTGCAGCCGCACCAGCACACAAGCAAAGCACATACGGCCACAAGCCATGGACATCTCCCAGCGCAGCACCCTGCATGGAGCGGCACCCTGCAGCAGCACCAGCATCCAGGCTCCAAAGCGCACACAGGCACCTCTTCCTTTACTTGAAGTAAGAACCCTAAAACCTTGCTTCGCTATCTGGGAACAAAAAGCGGAAACACGACAACTTTATGGGAACAGCATTGTCCCTCGGGGCCTCACTTGGTTCTCGGCCTTCGATGATCTGTAAAACACGAGATTGTCCTTCAATCAAAGTTGGGAACTTGACTGATCTTTGATCTATGGCGCTGGCACAGCTTGACTCAAAGTAAGCTGCTGCAACTTAAACTGCCGCTCGGTTGGTATGCCAGTAGAACGACAGAAGAAACAGGTGCTATGCTTGCAATTTGTCGAGCAGTGTGGCCAGGCTCTACAAGGAAATTGGCAAGCATTGTGAGCAGTTAGAAGAAAAGAACATCAGCTCCGATCAATTTGCAGTGTCTCAGCTTCAACATGCTGAAAAGATTGGAGAATTGCGACGGACAAGGGGCACCAAACCTACATGTTTAATTATTAATCACCTAAATTAAATGGTCCTTGGGGGGAAGGAAGGGTCAATCTTGATATCCGTCAGTGATGAATAAAAATTGGTGGCTTCTCACAGCTGTTTCTAGTGCCTCAAATCCACGTGTTCAAATTGATACTTGTAGAACGAAGATCTCTGCTATTTTTCAGGAACGAATCTGTGAAAGTACTGTGAGTTCCTCGGGGCGTGCTATTGGAAGTCTAGCAGGAGCAGCAGTTGGGCAGGCCACAGTTCACAGTTTCTGACAGTTTCTAGTTTCTAAGAAAGGAAGAACCATGAGGAAAGCAGATGGACATGAAAAGTTCTAAAGAAAGAAGGAACAGAAATGTATCATTGAGTTTTGGTTCAGGCCTCCATACCGGTGCCTGTAGTGGGAGCTGTTATAGGTGGAGTTGCAGGAGCACTGATCAAAAGACAATGAGGCGCCAAAAATGGGGACAATGCCGATTCGCCATGTAGGAGCTGCTTGCGGTGGCTTCTATGCAAACAGCTTGGTTCGAGGAGCTTGGAGGCTTTCAGGCGCCTTGTCACATCTACCTTTGAGAGAAAATGCCTCCAACTCCATGGACCTGCATGTCCAGGTGGACCTGCCAAAGGCGGTGATGGCATTGTCCGGTGTGAGACGCTGCCACGCTTTCACACGCAGCTTTCGATCAAATCGCATGCATCTGTCCATGGCAGGTCGAGCACTCTGTCGCATCAGAGAGTAAAGAGGCAGACCAGATCCAGGAAAGATGAAACAGTGACGAGACAATGACACAAACACCGTGCACAAAGATAATTACGATGGCTGAATGCGTTGCTTGCGGCTTGTTCTTTTTTCTATTCCACTGACATCATGGATAAGTTGCAGCTGCCACCCTTATGATTGTGCAAGGACAAATGGTCACCTCCCCATGCTCTACTCTGAAGGGAGTGAGAATGGGGACTGACCGTCCCTGTCACTGTAGTTAGGTTACGTCAGGTTTCGCCCGCGTCGCAGGGGTGGGCAGGCCATGTTGTGCACATTGATTGCACACGGATCACACAGGCCAATTCTCTTCCAAAGGCCTGTAGATGTGTTTCACAAATTCGATCTCAAGCATCTTGCGGAGATTCGGCAAACAATGTATACCGATACTGTACATACTGTACTTACTTGTTTGCATGTACAGCCCATAAATACTCCGCTAGAGTACTGCAGACACGTGACTCATGACGTATTTTGGCTCAAGGTGAAAAGGCGTTCCGAAACGTCGAAACCTCGTTTTCATGGTAGCGAAAGGGTCCGGTGAGAGTGACAGGGACCGAGCACTCCGCCTAAAGGAAGAAAGACACAGTAAAGTCGAGAGCTCCGAGGAGGAGGAGCTGAGATCCTCAGGAGCGGCAGCTTCTGCCGCCCCGAGTGGAAAAGGAGAAGGAAGTAAAGAAAAAGAGGAGGAGGAGAAAGAGCCTTTGCCAGCCACATCAGCGGCTGATTCAGCCGCAAGCACCACTCCAGCGGTTGAGAAGACCGCAGAAACAACTTCAGCGGTTGAAAGGACCGCAGAAACAAAAGAAGAGGGGCCGGAGATCGGACGAATCGTCCGTAGCGGAAAAGGTGCGAGAGCAGCGCCTTCGGGGTTGAGATTAGGGAACCATGGCATTGGAACAGCAGATTCAACAGTTGTCTGATATGGTTTTGCAACTCCAGCAAAACCAGGCACGTTTGGAACAAGAGAACCAGGTATTGAGAGAATCCCAAGGTGGGGTATCGATGTTGGCTTCAGCTGTAGGAGAACTGGCTAAGAGCCTTGAGAAAAAGGAAGATAGACGAAAGTCCCAAATACTTATGGACACCAAAGGTTTGGGCCGTCCTGAGAGTTTTGGGAACGTTGAAGGGGAATTCCGAAAGTGGGCCAGGAGCATCGACAACCTGTTCATAACTACCTTTGGGAGAGAGTTCATTGAAATCCTTGAGTACATTTTGGAACAGGAAGACACGATTGAAATGACCAAAATGGAAGAAGAGTTTGGGTCTGGCACCGTAACTGACATCGGTGACCTAGAAGACAAAGCAGACCAAATTCATCGTGTGCTCCTGACTCTCACTTCCGGCGAAACGGAAGATCTCATGGTAGGAGCCTCAAATGGGTTCGAGGCATACCGAAGAGTCCACCGACGATGGGGTCCCCGTACTTCGGGAAGAAAGCGAAACATCCTCAGGGCTATCCTCCAGCCAGAGCGTGTCAAAACTTGGACCGCCGTGAGGCCAGCCATCGAACAGCTGGAAGAGCTGATCAGGAGGTACGAAGCCCGGCGAAACGCATCAGGGGCTAGAGAGACACTATCGGACGACATCAAGTCCGCTTCATTGGAGATGTTGGTACCCCCAGATTTGGAGAAACATCTTCTGTTGAACAAGAGTAGATTGACAACCTATTCATTGATCAAACAGGAGATTGAACTTGTCATTGAATCATCTCTCACATCAAAGTCATCTGTTCCAAAACCAGGTTCATCGAGTTCTAGTTATCAAGGACCTCAACCCATGGACGTCGATTCGATCGGACAATGGATTGCAAGCCTAGTCAAAGGAAAAGGTAAAGGAAAAGGTAAACAGGTCAAAGGTGATGGAAAGAAAGGCTCAAGTAAAGGAGATTCAAGTAAAGGCTCAAATACGGCTCAAGATATCACCTGCTACAATTGCGGTAAGAAGGGACACAGAGCGGCCGATTGCTGGAGCAAGAAACGGCCGGATGGAAAAGGCGATAAAAGGTCAGGCTCAGGCAAAGGAGACAGGAGTGGAAAAGGTTGGCAAAGGCAGTAAAGGCTAAGGTGGAAAAGGCGGCAAAGGTAAAGCCGCAGGAAGTATGGAAGAGTTGGACGATCCGGATGATGGCATTGAGCCAGCTCCGGAAGCAGATGTCGGAATGCTCATGGCAGACTTGAGTGGAATTGGAATAGCGGATACTTCATCCGCCGAAGAATGGATGAAGTTTAACCTGGACACTGGAGCAGCCCAGACAGCCATCCCGAATGGCTGGGAGGACCGAGTGGTTGTCAGTGAAGGCAACGGGGTTGTTTTCAAGACTGCATCAGGAGAGTTGGTGCCCAGTCAGGGCATTGGAACCGTTGAAGGGTTCGATGAGAGCGGCAACAAATGCCGCGTGAAAGGCTCAATGGCCGATGTTCACAAACCATTGATTTCAGCATCCAAGTGCTTAGGCTTTGGAAGGATTGCAGTTCTTGATGTGAATGGCGGAAACTTGATTCCGCAAGGGTCCAAAGTTGGAAAGGCTGTTCAGGCGATCCTGAAGAAAGCGAGCGCTGCAGAGCAGCGAAGTTGGATCCCTGTGTATCAAGAGCAGGGAGTGTACAATTTCTACTTGAGAAAGCCAGTGTATAAACCGACCAAGGAATGCTGTGGCGTTGCAGAGTTGAACGCCGCAGGAGAAAGAGGAGATGCCTCTATGGATTCAGGCCGACCTGGTCCAGAGGGGCGAGAAGAGGATGATGAGTTGGAATTAGTTGATGAGGTTGAGAAACCCATCCAGATAAGAGCACCGGAGGATCCAACTCCGGCTGAGATCGAAGAGCACGAGGCGACAGGCCATGTGCAGTATCGAAATTGGTGCCGGCATTGCATTGCCGGACGGGCTGTAGGACAGCCGCATCGGACGAGGTCCGAGGAGCAGAAGGCAAAGAGCCTTGTGCCCACAGTGGCAATGGACTACACGTTCATGTCACGGGCGGTGCGGAGGACGAGCGAGTGAAGCCGATCCTCGTGGTGAAAGATGAGAGGACACAGTCCTTAGCGGCGACCTTCGTAGATTCGAAGGGAGCAACGCCGTATGCAGTGAAGTTCGTGGCGAACTTCTTGAAGAACTTGGGACACCGTAAGGTGGTTCTCAAGTCGGATGGTGAGCCATCCGTGGTAGCCTTGAAAGAGGCAGCAGCGAAAGAAACCGGCGTAGACTGGGTTTCGGAAGAGTCGCCAGTAGGAGACCATCAAGCGAATGGCCTGGCAGAGAACGCCTGCAAGGAGGTCAAACGTCAAGTACGAGTCCTCCGCAGCGCGTTGGAAGAGAAGCTCGGCAAAGAGCTTAAAGATGATGATCCTGCATTGGCATGGCTGCCTAGGCAGGCGGGAGACCTGTTGAGCAGGTACAAGAAAGGTCAAGATGGCAGAACGCCTGAGGCCAGAAGATGTGGAAAGCAGTGGCGGAAGCCCGCCATAGCTTTTGGTGAACGCCTATACTTTAGAGAAGTAGGCGAGGGAGTTCGCATCCTGAAAGAAGGACGCTATGTAGGTCACCATGGCCGAACAGGATCTATTTTGGTAATGACGGCTGATGGCGTGCGCAGAGGCACAGGAATCCGGCGGCTGAGTTCAGCCGACCGCTGGGACCCAAGCGATTGGGACCTTTTGCGGGGCTTACCGTGGGAGCACTCCGCGGCAAGGCCTGCCGGTGAGCAGTTGATGCTCGAAGAGCGTCTTGTGGTACCACCTCCCAAGGAGGAACGAGTGGCACCACCACAGCAGAGGCGAGTGTACATCAGGAGAGAGGATGTGCACAAGCATGGAGCCACAGAAGGCTGCCCAGGATGCAGGTGCATCTTGGAAGACAAGAGGACGACCTTGCCGCACACAGAGGCGTGCACAGCAAGGATCACCGAAGCGATGGAAAAGGATGAAGCTGGGCAAGCGAGACTTGAAGCCCATGCAAAGAAGAGGAAAGAACGGCAACAGCTTGACACTGTGAAGCCGAAAGTCGTGGCCGACAAGGACACCGACATCACGGCCGAAGACGCGGCCGGAGAACCAGAGAAGAAAGAAGAAGCAAAGAGCGCAGGATCGGGAAGCCCGCCGCCAACAGCGGCAGAGGGTGAGAAGACCTATCCCGATGACCCGAAAGAGAGATATGAGATGAAGAGGCAAGCAGCCGAGATAGAGAAGAAACCAGTGGCGAAAGCCAAGGTAGCAACAGAGCCCAAGAAGAGAACAGGGGAACTTAGAATAGATCCACCCGGGGCAAAGGTCAAGCCGAATCCAGCCCAAGGAACAAAGAGGACGGCAGAGACTGCTGTAGAAGACCTTGATCCCAGAGTGGAAGAGAGTCCAAAGAAAACGTCTCAGTGTTCCCATTTTCCAGAAACACCACCAGCAGGGTGGAAGCCAGATGCAGCAAGAGATCGGAGACATCGCGCATTTGAGTATGCAGATGTCAGCAGTAGATGTCATGGAAATCTACTCGCCCAAGAGGTTCACCGCGCTCGCAGAGCGGTACAAGTTGCGACCGGGTTTCGCGGTCGACTTGAATGAAATGAAAAGTGATGGGACATACTGGGACTTGAACAAGTCCGAAGATGTCCAAGAGGTGCACAACATCCTAGAGAGAGACGAACCGGCTCTCTTGACCGGATCGCCTCCGTGCCATATGTTCTCGCAGCTCCAGAATCTAAACTGGAGAAACATGGCACCGGATGTCAGGAGGAGGAAAATGGACGAAGCCGTCCATCACCTTCATACGAGCGTAGAGCTGTATGTCAAGCAGCATCGCTCGGGGCGAAAATTCCTCCATGAGGCACCATGGGCCGCAACCAGCTGGAAGGATGAGAAGGTTGAGGCCTTAGCAAAAGAAGATGGTGTGTTTGTGGTGAAAGGTCCAATGTGCAGGTGGCAGATGATGGCCACCGACCGAAGAGGACTCCAAGGCACCGGCTATGTGAGAAAGGAGACCGGTTGGATGACCAACGATGAAGGGTTGGCCCGAGTCTTGCAAGGAGTCTGCTCGAATGAATCGGGCAAAGGACCATGGCACCGACACATCCATCTGATTGGAGGCATTGCTAGGCAGGCAGCGGTATACCCACCGCAGCTTGTGAAAGCAGTGCTGAGGAGCCTGCGTGACACACTAGCAGAGAAAGGTGAGTTGAACACCTTCGATCTGTTCGCAGCAGGCCCAGTTCCAGAGATGCCTCTGATGAACCCAGAGTTCGAAGAGGTCTACATGGATGATGTGAACGGCGGCATTTTGCCAGCCGAAAAAGTGAAGGAGGCAAGACGCCTTGAGATGGACTATACTTGAAAGAGAAGCATGGCGTTTATGTGCCCCGGCCGAGAGCCGAATGTTTTGAGGAAACGGGGAAGCCCCCGATTCCAGTCAGATGGTTGGACACCAACAAGGGAGATCCAACAAACCCGGACTATAGGAGCCGATTAGTTGTGCGTGAGATAAAGGCAAGAAAGACCAAAGACGAACAATTGCCAGCCAACTTGCTTTTCAGCAGCACGCCCCCATTGGAGGCGATGAGA